CTCCTCCTCCTCCTCCTCCTCCTCCTCCTCCTCCTCCCGCGATCTCCTTCAGCGCCAGGACGGCACCATCCCGCAGCCGCTTGGCCCGGTAGACGATCCCGAACGCGCCGCGCCCGATCACCTTCGTCAGCAGGTACTCGTCACCGAAGCGGCGGCGCGCCGCCTGCACAACGACGCGCCTGCAAGAACAGCAAGCGGCACAATGGCGCAGAAAGTTTGATGTTTCATCTTCTTTCATCTTCTTATTCGTATGATTAGTATGCTTACTACTGTTTTTGGTTTGATTCTTCTTATTTTGGTTATAACTACTATGATGAGCATTCGCATTCTTATCATTAGTATGAATATTCTTAATATCATTACATATTCTTATGATTCGACTCTTGGCAGGACTGTTGTTTAGCGTGTCGCGGCGGTGGCCCCGGCGACATCCTGTGCGCTGCAGACAGGTAGTGTGTCGCTCCGCTCTGCGGGGCGGGAGGCCCGAAAAGGCTCGGGACGTGGACGCCTGGGGACTGGGGCGTAGGTAGCATGTCGCGCCGGAGCGTGGTGGGCTATAGAACCAGGGGGGCGACAGGCCGAGCCGAAGTTTCTGACCGTAAACTCTCTCGGATCTCCGCGCGGATTTCCTGGATCGGGGCGGCCCCCCCCCTCGCCACCTGCCCGGGCGTTGCGACTTTCACGCGGGGCGTTCTCGCCTGGCTTCGGACCCTAAAATCATCACGGCCTGGTCTGGCTCGACAAATGTCGCAGAAAAACGGAATCTACAGCTCCAGTCGCAACGTCTCCAGATGTTTTGTTCGCAACGCCAGATCTCAAGACTGCGCCCCCCCTCCCTGGCCCGCGCATCAGGGGCGGCGCCGGAGGCGCTGCCAGGAGGACCCAGCGCAGATCCAAGAAATCCGCACGGAGCTCCTGAAGGTTGTGTTGATGGAGTTTGGGTTGCTCTTCGAGCGCCGAAGGTTCTCCAGCGAGAGGGGGTGCAGCAGGTACTCGCAAATGCCCTTCGCCCGCAGGGCGCTGCGTATCTCCGCCTCGCCAGAGGCGAGCAGCGACCGCCCCACCTCCTCGAACTCCTCGGCCCTGCTGGTGAGCGACACGTACACGCCCCGCTCGCGCCACTCGCGGGGTATCTCCCGGTCCAGCCAGTCCTCAAGGGGGACGAGAACTGCGCACATGCGGCCATGCACCTTCAAGGTTGAAGGCGCTGCGCATGTGCGATGGCCGGCGCTGCGATACGCCTGACCAGCGTTTGCTCAGGCGTATCGCGGCGTCGGACCTCGCAGCTCGCAAAATGCCCTGCAATATAATAATAATCATAATAATAATAATAATACTAATAATAATAATAATAATAATAGCAATAGCAATAATACTACTGCTGCTACTACTACTACTACTACTACTACTACTACTACTACTACTACTACTACTACTACTACTACTACTACTACTACTGCTACTGCTACTGCTACTGCTACTGCTACTGCTACTGCTACTGCTACTGCTACTGCTACTGCTACTGCTACTTACTACTATACACTAATATACTAATGATAAATAATAGTAGATTATTAATATTTATCCAATAATAATTACGCCAATAGTAAGACTACTAATCAATTATTATAATAATAAGGAATAATTTAGTAATAAAATAAAATGATAAGAATAATTAATACTAACAATAATTATAACTAATAGACATCATCATCATCATCATCATCATCATCATCATCATCATCATCATCATCATCATCATCATCATCATCATCATCATCATCATCATCATCATCATCATCATCATCATCATAGTAGTATTAATACAAACACACACACGCAAACATAAACTCTTGGCGCTCCGTGCGGATCTCTTCGATTCGCGCTGGACCCCCCTCCTTCCTGGCGCGCGGAGCGCGCCAGGGGCGGCGCAGCAGGCGCCGCTGGGGGGCCCAGGCGCGGATCCAAGAAATCCGCGCGGAGCGCCATAAGTTTATGGTTGTGTGGTATTTCTTTGTCGATCAACAGCGAAGGCCTTCGATCCACCAGGAGGGCAGAGGGGGGGAGGAGGGCTTCTGCGGAGGGGGGGAGAGGACGGGAGGGAGGGGAGGGGAGGGGTGAGGGGGAGAAGAACAGGGAGAAGGAGGAAGAGGAGCGAGGAGGAGGAGGAGGAGGAGGAGGAGGAGGAGGGAGAGGAGGAGGAGGAGGAGGAAAGAGGAGGAGGAGGAGTAGAAGAGGAGGAGGAGGAGGAGGAGGAGGAGGAGGGGGAGGGGAGGAGGGAGGAGGAGGAGGAGGAGGAGGAGGGAGGAGGGAGGAGGCTGCCCTGCAAGCTGATGGCGTGCGGCTCCGCCTCCGCGGGGCGTGGGGCCGCGAGAGAGCCTCGGGACGCTGCCGCGCCCTGGACCCCCCGGGGCGAACTGTTGGCGTGCCGCGCGACCGCGCGCGTGGGCCCGCACCGGCCGCGCAACACGCCGAGCCGAAAAAAAGGCCCTCGACGGCCCACCAGCCCAGGCCAGGCCCCTTGTCCCCAGACCTCCTCGCGCGGTGCGAACAAGCATCGCGACGAGAGGTTTTTGTCGCTGTTTTCGGCCTCCGGGGGGCCGTATACCAGGCCTCGGGACCGTCAAGAAAGGACTCGGGACGAGGAACCGGTCCCGTGGAAGGGGTCCAGACCTCTCCTCCTCCTCCTCCTCCTCCTCCTCCTCCTCCTCCTCTCCATCTGCCCCCTCCTCCGGCTCCTCCTCCTCCTTCCTCCTCCTCTCCTCCTCCTCCTCCTCCTCCTCCTCCTCCTCCTCCTCCTCCTACTCCTCCTCCTCCTCCTGGGGGGTCCAGACCTCTGGGGGTCGACGCTGCGAAAACATCACGGCGTCGGGGGTCTGGGTCCCGCCCGAGCCCAGGATCGGCGGCCCCACGCCGCAGCGCGGCAGCGGCGGTGCGCACGCGCGTTAAGGGCGAGGCCGGGAAGCACGGCATCGCGATCGCGAGGATCGGTGCGCGCGCCCTCCTGGCTTCGCCGTGGAGGTGTAATCATACACCGATCCTGGGAGGAGGAGGAGGAGGAGGAGGAGGAGGAGGAGGAGGAGGAGGAGGAGGGACCTGGCCAGGATCGGTGGCCAGGATCGGGGTGTATGTGCATACTGGTTGTCGCCCGAAGTCCCAGCCCAGCAGCATCACCAGCAGCTGGCCCCTCCGGCGCGTTGCTGGCGACGGGCGTGACGTCCAGCTCTCGTCAGAGCTTCCCCTGCTGCAGCTTCTGGAGCCCAGCGAGCTGTGAGTCTCGTAGAGGGAGTAGCTTCTGGTACCCCTCCTGGACTCGGACCGGTCGGTGCCGAAGGTGGGCTGGCGCATCATCTCCTCGGTGACGAGCTCCATGGCGTCGGTAGCTGCGGTCAGGGTGGTGAACGCCTGGCAGGGATACTCCAGGATCTTGCAGAGCTCCGTCAGCTCGTTGCACAGGGCTCTGGACTGCTCCACGATGAAGACCTCCACGCGCGAGACCTCCTCGGCGGAGTCGACCTGCCTCGTCACGATCTTCCTGAACCCGCGCAAGAGCTCCTCTTTGCACCGCCAGAGCGTGTCCATACTCACTGCCGCGGGGTCGTGTCCTGGGGTCTGGGGGAGCGGCGGATCCATGGATATCTGCCCGCCCAACCAGGCGGGCAGATGTCCCTCCAGATCCCAGGGCACGACTCCAAAGCGGTGCCTACAAGCACCCTCTGGCGGTGGATCCTTCTCTTCTTCGCTCACCTCCCGGGCCAGCTGCATCTCCCGGTGCGCATCCTCCAGCGTGCTGCGGAAGCTGTCGAGCAGGGACTGCTGCTGCGCGAGCAGCTGGCGCTGCCACGCGTTCTGCGTCCGCAGGCACTGGGACTGGAACTCGATGCGTATCGAGCTCTTCAGGCCGTCAGCCCCCTGGGAGAAGTTGATGACCTCTGAACGCACAAGCAACACAAACACAGACTGCCGAGGGCCCGCGCAGATGTCTTGGATCGGCGCTGGACACCCTTCCCTGGCGCACGGAATGCGCCAGGGGCGGCGCTGGAGGCGCGGGGGCCCAGCGCAGATCCAAGAAATCCGCGCGGAGCTCCGGAAGTTCATGGCGCCTCCGGCGCCGTCCCTGGCACACTCCTCGCACCAGGGAGGGGGGCGCAACGCAGATGCAAGAAATCCGCGCGGAGCTCCGATTGAGCATGTTTCTGCCGGCTTTCACCGCCAGCGTCGTCGCCGCGCCTTCGCGTACAGGGCGTGCGTCTGAGATGCTCCCTGCCATCCTTTTCCTCTCCTCCCTCCCTCCAGGCTCCGGTCCCTGTGAGGCATCGGCCGAGCTCACAGGTGGCCGCGCCGTCAGCTCAAACAGCTTACGGCCAGCAGCTTCTGCTCAGCCCGTTGTGACGGCGGCCCCGGCGACACACCGTGCCTGGCGCGTGGGTCGGGTGGCGTGCCGCTCCGCGCCGCGAGGGCGGGAGGTCAGGAAGGCGCTCAAAACGCCGCCGCCAGGGGCCCAGGGCCTGGACGGCGTGCCCCGCGCCGAGGCGCGGTGGGCCAGAAGCGACAGAGCGGCACGAGAAGCCAGAGCTGCTGACGTTCGGCGGCAACTCACGGGAGCCTCCCATGCCACCCTGGTCGGCTCTCGCGAATCGGCGCTACATCGACGCGACATCGTCGCTGGATCGACGCTACATCGACGCCAGCCGACTCGAAGTCGGCGCTATCTCACCGACTCCCGGAGGCTAACCGACGCTAGTCGACGCCGAAGACGGAATTCAGAGAGCATACCAGGCTCCCACGATCTACTGCCGAACTGACCGTATGCAGTCTTTCTCTTCTTCGAGGTGACCTCAGCGCGGACAGACTCGCGCTCCCCGCCGCCCTGCAGCACGGCGTCGCACGCCGAATAGTACGTCTGGGCCGCCGAGTCGCAGGAGCCCACCTCGCTGACGGCCACGGCGTGCTCCTGGTTGGTGCGAGATCTCTTTTCTGCAAGCAGCCCCTGACATTGGCACGGGAGCGTCGAACAGAAACGGGTCTTACGCGAGATGTCACAGAGACCTTGCGCCGCCGCTTGCGCGGGCCACCAGCGCGGCACGCTGCGTTGGAGACGAGGGCGCTCACGCGCGACCTTACGCGGGCAGCTTACGCGCGAATGTCGGCGCAGTCGACCACCCAATCTTCTCCCGTAGCCCACGCGCACTTGGACACGCAACGGCAGTGCAAATGTCACAGAATACCGCTTCGAGGCCTACAGCAAGCGGCTTGAAAAACACTTATTTCTCAAAAGGGGTCTCGGTCGTTCCTCAGGCTTGCATGCGTTATTTATCGCTCCTCTTGCGCTATGTATGATTATCGTTACTTATACGTTATTCCATGGAAAATAAAGGGGCTTCGTTCCTTATTTATCCTTAGGTCAAGCCGATGACTGTGCCACCCACTTCGAGGCCTGGGTGGGGGGCGGCTGGTGACCTCCTCGGCCCTCCCCCACCCCTGAGCAGGGACCGACCGTCCCTGCACTCCTATGGGCCTACCACGAAATGTTCTTCGAACCCAAAATGTTCTAATAACAAAAACAATGTTCTTAGAACATAAGCCCGAGGTGCTAAAACAAGACAGTCCCGGCCTGAAATGTTCTAAGGACATTTCGTGCAGACCGTACAAGGCTCTTAGAACATTCTTCGGTGAGCCTATATAGGCGAGCCAGGACGCTTCGCCACTACTTGACTCCTAGGCCCCCGCCCCCCCCCCCCCGCGCCCCTGGAGGCGAGGCGCTCGCGCCGGCGCCCCAGCTGGCACGGCCAGGCCGCGCAGGGCGTCTCCCTGCCGCGCAATGCAGGGAAACAAAAACTGCAACGCAGGGCTTCGCAAACCCCCGGGTCAACCAATTTGCGCGGCCGCCTCGCGGCCACGAGCGGCTCGCTAATCCGGGTAAGCCAGAGGGGGTCTTCTTGACCCCCCCCCCCGCGCCCCTGGAGGCGAGACGCCCGCGCCCGCGCCCCAGCCGGCACGGCCAGAGGTCGCGGGGGGAGGGAGGGGGGAGAGTCAGAGGCACCGCCAGGGGAGGAGGGGCTCCAAGGGTGCAGGAAGAGGAGGAAGGAGGAGGAGAAGGAGGAAGGAGGAGGAGGAAGGAGGAGGAGGAGGAGGAGGAGGAGGAGGAGGAGGAGGAGAGAAGGAGGAGGACGAGGAGGAGGAGGAGAAGGAGGAGGAGGAGGAGGAGGAGGAGGAGGAGAAGGAGGAGGAGAAGGAGAAGGAGGAGGAATACCACGCAGGAGCGGTGCTGCAAAGTTGGACGGCCTGCAACCCAGACGGAAGCATGTTCTCTCCTAGCTGGCATGCATGAAACGGGCCCAGAGGAAGACAGGCCCTGCACTCCAGCGCCTTCTTCGGTGGCAACTCATGGGAGCCTCCCAAACCATCTGATCCGCTCTTGCGAATCGACGCTAAATCGACGCCTGATCGACGCTAAATCGACGCTGAATAACCGCTAATTGGCGCTAAACGACGCGAAATCGGCGCTATCGCTATCTCATCCGCTCCCAAACGCTATTCGACGATAATCGACGCTAGAGACAAAATCGCGAGGGTATACAAGGCTCCCATGATTTGCTACCAAAGCCTTCCCCCAGGACCAGCTCCTCACCCCGGGTCGTTTCCTGACGGGCCCCGGGCCCGAGGAAGGCCCCGCCCCGAGATCCCCCAAAACTTCGCGGCGCAAAACCTGAGGACTCGTCTCCCTCAACCCGGAGATCCTGGCGTTGCAACTTTTTCGCCATGGGCGTTTTCGCTCGATTTCAGGCCTGGGACCCTCACGGATCAATCCAGCTCGAAAGATGATGCAGAAAGATGGGGTCCGGGGGTCCAGGCGTGATTTTGTGCGATGTTGCAACTTTGCTCCAACGTCGGATCTCAGGGCTCGTCTCCCTCAAAACCCACTTGCCTCATGGCGATCCTGGCTCGGCTCGTATAGCGGATCCGGCTCCGGCCGACGGGCCCGAGGAGGGCCGCGAGACCCCGAATACTCATCGGCGCAACACCTGAGGACCCGTCTCCCTGAAGACCTGCTTGCCTCCTGGCGATCCTGGCTCGTGTGGCGGATCTGGCTCCGGCCGACGGGCCCGAGGAGGTCCCCGAGATCCCGCACACCCAGCGGTGAATGTAAAAAACTCGGATAACCCGTCCCCTGAGATCCGACGTTGCAGAAAAAAATGCAACATCGCAGAAAATTACGCCCAAACCCCCGAGCACCATCTTAATGCGTCATTTTTCGAGCCGGATCGATCTGCGAGGGCCCGGGGGCCCGAAAGAGAGCGAAAACTCCCGTTGTGAAACAAATGCAACGCCAAGATCTCAGGGCGCCTCCCTCAAGCCCCGCTTGCATCCTGGCGATCCTGGCTCGGGTAGCGAATCCGGCTCCGGCCGATCGCCGTGCCCGCTGCCGCCTCGGCCGGCACGTCGATCTCCATGACCCAGCTGCTGGCGCCTGTGGGACGCACAGAGACATACTAATGCTGTACGTCCTCCTTGGAGGCGCGCGTCCGACCCCAGCATGTGGTGTACCCATCTTGTGGTATATCTCTTCCTGAGCGGTGTGGCCAGAGAGCGCCCGCCACGATGCACATACTGTAAGATTTCTCGGCGCGCGCGTCGCCCCTGGGGGGGCGACGCACACATACCGTACGTCGGCACAATGGTGCGTCACATTATTCGGGCCCTGGAATGCGTACTGCAACACTGCAACGCTCCGTCCCCCCCTCCCCCATCGAATATTTTTGGGCTTGCGAGGAGGAGTTGCTTGGAATCCCCCAGGCGATCGACAGAATGTTGCACCACCGAGCTGTCTCGGCGACCCCCAGACCGTAGCCGATATTATATGGGGGAAATGGGGGGGGATGAAATGGAAACGTCGATCTGAAAACGATGCCCGCTGCCTTCGGCACCAGGTGGTGCAGTATTTTGTCGATGCACAAGGAACGGGCCGCGGGCCAGCGAGGAGGAGGAGGAGGATGAGGAGGAGGAGGACGAGGACGAGGACGAGGAGGAGGAGGGACTGTTTGGAAGGAGGAGGAGAGGCAGGAGGAGGACGAGGAGGAGGGAGGAGAGGAGGAGGAGGAGGAGCAGGAGGATGACGGAGGAGGAGGAGGACGCCGAGACCTGAGCCCGTGCTTCGGTGCCATGCTCCCGTAGTTCGCCGCTCTTGTTTTTTTTCTCGCCCGGGGCACGAGGCCCAGCCCCTGGCATCCGATGCCCAGCGGCCGGGGGGACCCAGCGGGGGGGGGAGTTAGGGGGGGTAGAGGTTCCTCTGGGTAGTAAGGCGAGGGCCGTCCTCCTCCTCCATCTCCATCCTCCTCCCTCCCTCTCCTCCTCCTCTCCTCAACCTCCTCAAATCCTCCTTCCTCAGAGCCTACTCCACCTCCTCCTCCTCCTCCCACTCTAGCTCCTTACTCCCACCTACCATACTCCATCCTCACATCTCCATAATCTCATACATATCACTCCTCCTCCTACTAAGCACATCTAGCTCATACATCAATAATAATAACATGACTCCTCATCCTCCTCTCCTGCCTCCTCTCCTCCTCATACTCTCCTCCTCCCCTCCTCCCCATTCATCCCCTCCTCCCCTCTCCTCCCCCTCCTCGCCAGCATTCTTAGAGCGCGTCCTAAATGGGGTCCGAGCATGTTCGGAAACTGGATCGCGCCGCATCCGCGCCATAGCAATCGGCGCATCGCCCATACATCGGCGATGCATCACCGATGCATCGGCGATGTACCGCCGATGCATCGCCGACCTCGTCGATGCATCGGCGACATCGACGTGAAGCGAATCGGGCTCCGCATCGAGACGCATCGCCGATGCATCGGCGATGCGGCGCGATCCTCCGACCCCGTCTACTCCGACCGCGTCTAGGAGGCCTAGATTTCTCCGGAGCCAGAGAGGGCTCCAGGGCGAGGAAGAGACAGCCGCAAAGGCTGGGCTGAGAACAACCCTCCTGGGGGTGCGCCAGGGGTGATGCCCACAGCCCAGCGGTTGCGGTCGCCTCTTCTTCGCCCCGGAGGGCGAAGGCCAGAAGCCTTCTCAGACGCCCCGCCGCCCCACGAGAGGGCCTGCCCCCCGTCGCCTCTCCCCTCGCCTCGAGCCGCCGCTCCTGGCCAGGCGCGCGAAGCTCGAGCTGGAGCTCCCCAGCAGGGACTCGAACAGGGTCAGGCCGCGCCGGCCGCCCAGGCCGGCGGAGCTGAGCCCGGTGGAGCCGCTGCAGAACTGGGAGGGCGCCTTGCGGCGGTTGAAGTCCGCGAAGGACGTCGCGCTGAAGCTCGAGGCCGCCACGGAGTGGCTCCTGGATGGTCGGCTGAGCGCGCGCGGGAGCGGGCGAAGATTGCAGCTCTTGTCGCCGGGGGGCGCCTTCGCCCCCTCCTCTTGGGGCCCCCGCGGCCATCGCAGACCGATGGGGCTCGAACAAAAAAAAAGCCGCCGAACGATGGGGCCCCGGGTTCTGGTCGTGATTTCCCGCGCTGCTGCAGAGCAGAGGGGCAACGGCTTTTGAGCATAATCAGAGAATGGATGGATTCGGTTTGCGTTCGGGATTCGGTTATCTGCTATGTATGGGGCCAACGGGGCCAGGCGGACAGCGATGACGACGACGACGACGACGACGAGGGCGAGGGGGAGGAGGAAGAAGTCGACGACGAGGGGGTGGAGGGCCAACACCCCCATCCGTCCTATCGGCACAAGCCAAGAGCAAGGGGAGAAGGAAGAAACGCATCGGAGTCACATTGGAACCATACTGACACAATCTTGGGGCCAACTAGGGATTAAAGGGGTCATCTTGGGGCAATCTCGAAGTCGTCTCGGACTCATGGGGTCGTTCTGGGGCCAGATCGGAATAAAATCGGGGTCGCGCGGTAGCCGTAGTTCAGTCGGAAGACAATTGTTTCGTCTCGGTGTTCTCTTGGGGCCGCAGGGTTGCTCTGGGGACATATTGGGGGGGCCGTTGCATCAAGGGGTGGACATCTTGGGACGACAGGGGTAATCTCGTGATCCTTTCAAAAAAAACCATGTTGGGTCCATCTTGGAATCATCTTGCCGTTGCTGCCTCCCTCGTTGTTGTTGCTACAGATGTTGCTGTTGCTGCTGGCGTTGATGCTGCTGGCGCTGCCTGGGCTGCCCGTAGCGCTGGTGCCGTGTTAAAGTTTGGGCCCTCTCGGAGCCATCTTGGGGCCCTCTTCTGGCCCTTCGGGGCCTCTTGGGGCCCTGCGGGGGCCTTCTGAGGGCCCTTAAGACGCCACCGAGAGGGCCAAGAATTCACCGCACACTTAACAAACCGCCTTCCTATTGGAGAGCGTATTTTGTTTAATTCGTGTTAAAATGTGTGGCCCTCTATCTTGGGGCCCTCTTGGGACCCTCCTGGGCCCTCTTGGGCCCCTGCGGGAGCCTTCTGAGGGCCTGAAGCGGCCTCCAGGAGGGCCAAGAATTCAACACACATTTAAAACAAACCGCCTCCTCATTGGAGAGCGTCGTGTGCCAAATGTACGTCGCAGTTCGTGCCCTCTTGGAAACCCAAGAAGGCCCGAGAGAGACCCAAGAAAGCCCCAACAAAGATTTGTGTTTAGCTTCCACGCGGGGGGGGTCACCATTTATCCGCTGTTTGTACACATGCCTCTCTTGCAAGGCTCGGTTTGAGGCTCGGAGGGCCTTCAGGAGGGTTCCAACCTGAGGTATTCAAAGAGTTCGCGTGAGCTTCGAGTGCGATTGCGCTGCTCCAAGACGGCTCCGAGGCGGCCCCAGAGCGCTCCAAGACGCTTACAACCCTCGAAGCCATTGAAGGCCATGAAAGATCACTTGCTCTTCTGGGTGACAAGCATGTCCATGACGTACGCACCCATGTTCAATGCGTCTGAGATGCGCGGCGTCGTGAGCCCACCTGAGTCCGCGTCGTGGGCGTCGAACCGCGTGTGTATGTCGCGCGAGGCTCTTTATTTTGAGGCCGTGAGGCGCGTGCTGTTCAGTGCCAATGAGAATGAGAATTTGCAGAAGAAACTCCACATGATTCGTGATTTGATCAAGTTCCGTGTGACGATATCGAATAACTGCGTTCGAAAGTTGCACACAGATGAGGTCTCCAGCTTGTTCAGTATGAATTTCGAGCAAGTGGCTGGTTTTGAAGGCCCCAAATCGCTGAGGCCCCTTGTCTCACACATTCGCTGCATACGGTAATTGAACCAACGGGCAACATGCTGGCGACGCGGATGAAGTCTTAGCACTGGGAGCTGCACGGTGAGTGCATGTGAGCACCCAGTGCATAGCCTGCATGACGGCCAGGATGACGCCGCTGAGACGCAGATGGACGACGCCGCTGACACGCATATGGCGGACAATGGAGCAAGTTTTGGGCTTTCTGTACGGCCGCCACGCCTTCTGAGGATGGATGTATTGTGAGATTTGCATGTCTTGATGCCCTCGAGAGGCTTGGGCCGCCTGCACTTTGGACCATCGTGAGCATCACATCACGATGAGTCTTTTGGATTCGTACATGGATGAGCCCGCACTGCCTGCCCTCATGACTGCCTGTGTGAGGCACCTTGAGGATGCCATCCGGCCCGTAGATTTTCGAGGCCAAGGCGGCCAGCCTGAGCAGTACGCCGAGCATTATGAGGATGAGGCTTCTGAAGGTGGAATGTCCGAGGATGTGATTTCTTAGGGTTTCGTTGGGCCTGAGCTTCGACAGTACTTCTAAGGATGGAGGTTCTGAGGATGGAGTTTCTTTAGTCCCTCGCAAGGCTTGAGCCGCCTGCTCCTCCGGCCTCCCAAAGAAATAGGTCAGCCCTCATGCGTGCCCGCGTGAGGCACCTTGAGGACAGCAGCAGCTGTGAACCTTCAGCACCAGTACCTGCGAGAAAAATGAATACCTCCAGCCCTTCTGAGGATGAGGTTTCTGAGGGTGGAATTTCCGAGGGTGTGATTTCCGAGGGTTCGTTCGGCCTGAGCTTCAACGCTCCATCCATGGATGGAGGCTAAGTTTCTGTAGGCCCTCTTGGGGCTTGAGCTCCACCAAGCACTCCGAGAATGGAACTCCTGATGGTGGAGTTTCGGTCGGTTTCGTGGGGCCTAAGCTTCAACCGTCTTTCTGAGGATCAAGCTTCTGATGAGGTAGTACTAGTACTAGTAGTAGACGTAGTAGACGTAGTAGTAGTTGCAGTAGTAATAATATTAGTAGTAGTAGTAGTAGTAGTAGTAGTAGTAGTAGTAGTAGTAGTAGTAGTAGTCGTAGTAGTAGTAGTAGTAGTAGTAGTAGTCCTACTAGTAGTAGTAGAAGTAGTCGTCGTCGTCGTCGTCGTCGTGGTAGTAGTAGTAGTAGTAGTAGTAGTAGTAGTACTAGTACTAGTACTAGTAGTAGTAGTAGTAGTAGTAGTAGTAGTAGTAGTAGTGGTAGTAGTAGTAGTAGCACAGTGTAGTAGAGTCGTAGAGTAGTAGTAGTCGTAGTCGTAAGTAGGAGTAGTAGTAGTAGTTAGTAGCTAGCTAGTAGTAGTAGTGATCGTAGTTCTTCTCCAAAATATCGCACAGGGAAAAAGTAGTAGTAGTAGTAGTAGTCGTAGTCGTAGTCGTAGTAGTAGTAGTAGTAGTAGTAGTAGTAGTAGTAGTAGTAGTGATCGTAGTAGTAGTAGTAGTAGTAGTAGTAGTAGTAGTAGTAGTAGTAGTAGTAGTAGTAGTAATAGTAGTAGTAGTAGTAGTAGTTAGTAGTAGTAGTAGTAGTAGTAGTAGTAGTAGTAGTAGTAGTAGTAGTAGTAGTAGTAGTCGTAGTAGTAGTAGTAGTAGTAGTAGTAGTAGTAGTAGTAGTAGTAGTAGTAGTAGTAGTGGTAGTATGCTACTACTAATAGTAGTATCCATAGCAGTAGTAGTAGTGTAGCAGTAGTAGTAGTTAGTAGTAGTAGTAGTAGTACATCGTAGTAGCAGTAGTAGAGTAGTAGTAGAAATAATATGTGTAGTGCTTTGAGTACTAGTAGTCGGTAGTAGAGTAGTAGTAGTAGTAGTAGTAGTAGTGTAGTAAGTATGTGCAGCAGGTGCGTAGTAGTAGTATAGTCGTAGTAGTAGTAGTAGTAGTAGAAGTAGTAGTCGTTAGCAGTAGTAGTAGTAGTGGCAGTAGTAGTCGGTAGTAGTAGTAGTGATAATAGTATAGTAGTAGACAGTTGTAGATAGTAGTAGATAGCGTAGTAGTTAGTAGTAGTTAGTAGTAGTAGTCTAGTAGTAGTAGTCGTAAGTAGTAGTACTAGTTAGTACTAGTACTAGTAGTAGTAGTAGTAGTAGTAGTAGTAGTAGTAGTAGTAGTAATAGTAGTAGTAATGGTGGTGGTGGTAGTAGTAGTAGGCGTAATACTGGTAGTAGTAATGATAATAGTAGTGGTCGGTGTAGTAGTAGTAGCAGTAGTAGTGGTAGTAGTCGTAGTAGTAGTAGTAGTAGCTGTCGTCGTCGTAGTAGTAGTAGTAGTAGTAGTAGTGCGAGTTGTAGAACTAGTCGTAGTAGTAGTAGTAGTAGTACTAGTAGTAGTAGTAGAAGTAGTAGTACATCGTAGTAGCAGTAGTAGTAGTAGTAGTAGTAGTAATACCAGTAGCCGTAGTAGTGCTACGACTACAAAGAATAGCATACATAGCAGTAGTAGAAGTAGTAGTAGTTGTCCTAGTAGTAACAAAAGCATTTGTAGTAGTAGGATTAGTAGTCGTAGTGGTTAGTAGTAGTCGTAGCCGTTGTAGTAGTAGTTGGTGTAGTAGTAGAAAAAGCAATAGTACGAGCAGTAATAGTAGCAGCCGTAGTAGTAGAAATAACAATAGTACCAATAAGAATAGTAAAAACAGTGGTAGTAGTAATAGCCGTAATAGTGGTCGTCGGAGTAGTGGTGGTAGTAGTAGTCGTAGTAGTAGTCGTAGTAGTAGTAGTAGTAGTAGTAGTAGTAGTAGTAGTAGTAGTAGTATTAGTACTAGCAGTAGTAGTAGTAGTAGTAGTAGTAGTAGTAGTAGTAGTAGCAGTAGTAGTCGTAGTCGTAGAGGTAGCAGTAGTAAAGATCGTACTCGTAGCAGATGTGGTAGTAGCAGTAGCGAGAGTAGTAGTAATCGTGGTCGTAAAAGTAGTAGAAGTAGTGCTAATCATACAAATATTAGTAGTAGTAGTGCTAATAGAGGTAGTCGTAGTAGTAGCACTAGTAGTAGTTGTTGCAGTAATCGCAGTAGTAAAAATAGTAGTAGTCGCAGTAGCGGCAATAGTACTAGGGATAAACGTTGTAGTCGCAGCCGTAGTCGTAGTAGTCGTAGTAGTCGTAGTAGTCGTTAGTAGTAGTAGTAGTAGTAG